TGGAAGTCATTTGTAAAACAAAGCAACGGAGAATAGAAACAATTCTACTGGACAAAAATCAGATCAAAACTTTGGGTTTATGTAACTAGTGATTTAAGTTTGCAAGGATAAGATGGTTGATTTAACTATCAACCGTAAGTACTGAAACACTTAGAATGGAAAACACGAACAAAGATGTTCTAAAACTGTTTCACACTGATTTTTTAATTCACTCCTATATTTGGACATACTCTTACAGAAGACTTTTACAACAGAGAATTTCTTCAGGTGCTAATCTGAAGAAATGCCGCCTCTGTTTCGGGGTTTGAGGTAGGCTTTTTGTCAGGGAGAGGGATTTCAAAGGAAGAAGAGTCAAAAGTTTTCTGCTTTAGACAGACAAAAAAGATTTTGTATGCATCAGAACCGACTGTAAATTATTGTGGTAGGGGTAGTAAGTGTCACTTATTTATACATGCATTCACTTATATATAGTCATATATAGTTATTTTTACATGATAATTATTTGATATATGTATCTTGAAACATAAGATAAATATGAATATATATTCTGTATGGTAAAAGTAAGAACATATTGATGTACCTACGTCCTCTCTGAGGAAGTTGTATACATATTTGTCTCCACTAGTACATATAAGGATCTATTCAAGTCTCAAAATAAGTAACTTATTGAATCAGGATGTTGATCACTGACAATTTAAAATGCTTCACTGCACGCACAAGGCTGCACCCCAGTTAGCACAGACGAACGCTGGGGTGTTCAGAGGCCCTACAGAGGCACCCAGCCCCTATGCAGAGAGGACTCCTGCTCAATAGCTTTCTTCCCTACAAGAATCTGGGAGTGGGACCGTCAAATGAGCTCCTCCAAAGCACGGGCTGCCAATCTGCCTGTCCACCACTGCCCTTCACCCTGCCGGTATCACCCCCCTGGGCAACACGCACACACAGAAATGAGACAAATCATCCCCCGCGAGAACGGGGAAGCATGGCAGTTTGGCTCTTGAAAAAAAAACTCCTAAAGGGCACACGCTTAGATAGTCGCTGTGATTTAGCCCCTGGAACTGGCTGTGCTAAGCACTGCCGAGAAGTTTTGCAGCAGCCGAGACCGAACGATCTCTTCAGGGGCCTGCCAGGAAGCGTCTCCTCGCAGAAGAGAGGCAGCAAAGGCTAAACCAAAGGGTGACACGGGTCTAACGGTGTGAACAGAATAAAAAAAAGCAACTGAGCATCAGCACGTTAGGCATTATTTCCCATGCTTGAGAAAAACAAGATGCAACCACGGGCTTTTCCAGAAGAAAACTCACATTTATTTTACCAAAGCCATAACAGATTATTGATACAAACGTGAAAGGGATAAAAGGCAGATCATCTAAGATGTGCAAAACAGGCCTGAACTCGATGAATATAACCCCTGAAAAGGGGCATCAGCAGCTATCTTTATGCTAGCAGGGAATCAACAGGAAACAAATCTTTTCTTCTTAGTGACATTTGAGTATTTGTTGTTTCAAGGACAGAAACTAGAGGCACAAAGATCTGACACAGATTTAGTCTATACAGAGAGATGATTCCTACTTGTTGGCCTCTGTAAATAACCACAAGCTTGGAAAAATATGCTCCTTGAAGTCACCTAGCTATTCTTCTCCTATCAAATACATACATACATATACAAATACACACAAACACACACACTGCTTAGCATTACTTTGACTAGCTACGTACTGATTTTTCTTTTTCCCTTTGGTACCAGGGCTCAGTTATGAGACACTCTTAGGATAAAAGCACCAAAACCTGAGGAATGTACAGGGTTCTCCTTCCAGGGCTGAAAAAAGCTTACTAAAAATAAGTGCAAGTTCCTCAAACTAAAAAAAGTTACCTTGAATTTTAAAAGGAAACATATAAAGGGGCACACGACATAACCCGAAAAGTGAACAAGTTTTAAAACTATATCTTGCATCCTTTTTTCAAGAGATACAAGCCACAACGCCATAGTACATTCTCATCCAAAGCTCCAAACTCTTCAGATTCCGTAAACACCACTGGACCATCCACCACTCAACATCGTTCTTCAAGCACAGTGATTCAGCAAACTATCGCACACCCCCATCCCTCTCACTCCAAAATCCTTCAAGCTTCACAGATTCATCTATTTTGAATTTTAATTCCTCTGGAGACACAAATAAATCTTCTTTGACCTCTCAAAGCACAGAATTAGAGCATTTTTCTCCAGCAGAAATACACTGATGAAATGCTGTTTGATTTTCTGTACATTTTACAGCTTTCCATCAGTTCCACAATCCTGTACTGCATATTGCTTTTAGAAAAGAAAAATCTCATTTTTGCAACATGATACAGGATTAGTTGGATACTTATATGAAAGTATTGCCTATCAGTTAAAAATTATTGAATCAATGAGGAGGAGGAGAGGCAGTCGAACTCCATTTTAGTAATAAGAACCCAAACCCGCAGAGCGAGGGGAAAAAAAATAAATCTCAATTTAACAAAGGCTCTGGCTAGCGGTTTAATTTATTTTCAGGTGTATTTTAGTGTTTAGCAGACACAAGCTTTACGGAGAATTACCGGTGGCAAGAGAAGCTTTTAAGAGAACGCTCTGTTTATCGACACAGAAAAAAAAAATACCCATCTGAGGTCACGTAGAACCACCCAGGAGAAGCAGGAAGCGGGGCAGCCCCATACCCCGTGAGTCCTCAGCGCCCGGCTCCGTCCCCTCGTGCGCAGCACGGCATCTCCACGGCAGCACCTGACATTTAAGACGTTCTCACCAGCCAGAGACAGGAAAAGCCCTGGTTAGGAGCCTCCTGGTAAGATCCAGAAGCCGTTAAGTAACAGCGTTCTGTCAACACAACTGGACTGAGTTCAGATTAATGACCCTGCTATTAAAACAGATTCGTTTCAATCTCTCAGGAGCTCAGTGATGTTGGACTACACCACTCGCTGCAACCCAAACGGCTGAGTGTGAGAGCTCGGTTTAAAAAACAAACCAGCCACACACAGTTTCTCCTCCCACCTCTGAAAATTAAACTGGTTGAATAAGGGAAGACAAAGATTAATACAGTAAATACGTGATGTGCCACTATAGCCTCCCTTGGAGTGCTTTTTATAGTCATAATTTCTTGGTTTGTCCAAGTTATCTCAATTTCCTCCTATCCAAGACAGTCAAGTGTAATACCTCACATTACTGACTTCTGCCCCAAACACGTTGCGATCTAAAAACAGCCAGAAGAAGGAAAAAATACTGCACAGACAGCGAGCTGAGAACAAAGGAAAGGAGTAACACTGATGTACATATCTGAAAAAGCAAACGTTCAAATGGTCTCCGAGAGACAATTACCATTTTACCCAAGCCCCGACACCAGCAGCCCCATCTGCGTTCCTCCTTTCTATTCTTGCAAACCCTGTGATTCAGAATAACATCATTCGATGGGGCTCACGAGGGCTGCAGAATTTCAAAAGGAGATCTCAAAAGCGAAGACCGAGCTGAACCGCACTTGGACTTGGTGGTGCAGCGCGTGGTGTCAGGGCTGGTAGACTCCGTTTCTCAGAGATTCATTCTTACTTCATCACCATCCATAACTGCAGGAAGTAAATTTACAACCTGTGTTACGCCTTGCTGCTCAAGCGGGACTGTAACTGCACTGAAGGCTCCCTTATGGACAAGCTCTATTTCGTTCTTGAAAGATTCAGCCTCTGGGATCTCTATCTTCCAATCTGAATTCTGATTAGACTTTTTTTTTTTTTTTTACCCAAAGTTTAAGGTTTAAACTTGCATGTAACATATATCATGTAGGCCAAATAATTTGGCAGATACTTCTTATAAATCATAAACCTGGAAAGTAACCTTACTGCAAATTCAGTCTAAATAAAAAGTGCCATCAGAACGCAAAGCATGTCCTTTGATCATCATTCTTCAGGGCTACTTGTGCAAAATTAGAAAAAAAAAAAAAAAACAAACTTTGAGTGGAAAGAGCAACAGTACTTAATTCCACAGTTGTCAGTACCAGATCCATGCAACACCCCACCATGTAGCAGTGCCACTGACCCGCACCAGGCACAAACGCACAGAGTTCTCTGAAATTAAGGAGCATAATAGATTGAAGCATAGATGGCGTTGGCTTTATACTTGTTTGCTAACTGGAAGAAAATAAAAGTTACTAGATCCAGTAAAACCTACACAGCTGTGGTTAGACATCATCCAATCTGGTATAAGACCTGCCAGTATAAAACAAATCCACCAAGAATGGTTTTTAAATTGGAACCAGAAAAGTTTGGTTTATCAGCACTTTGCATCATATGGCCCCAGCATTTTTGATCTGACAGAAGAATTCTTTCAAATTTCCTTTATCACTGAACCATTGCCTATTTGCTCCCTCATTAACTTCTTCTGACAGCGCATAAACACTTAGTTTTGGTTAGTTTAACCTGCAGTCATCTAGAAAAGGAATAAAGTGCTACACTACAAATGAAGAAATCCGTGAGACAAGTGCTCGAACTTACCTGTCACTGGGCCATTAATACAAAAAGAGAAAATAAGAAAGCATGAACAGCACACTCAAAAAGGTTTAGATGTTGTTTTACTTCAGCTGGGGGACAGCTTAGTGGGAGAGAATGACACTTTGCAAAGAAAGGACGTCAAAAACTTCCATTTGTTCTGTAGAATTCCACCGAGCATAAAAGCTGAATTAACAGTTTTTGATAAAATGCATCACTGTTAAAGTTATAACACCTGCCAGTAACACTGGCTGCTTATTGCCCTTTTAAATTAAAAATGACAAGTTTTTGCTTTCGCTTCTTTATGATCTATAACCTGCAGGAACTGTCAATTAGCATTTCCCCATTTGTTTTAAATCTTCTTGTCCTTCTAAAGGAACAACCTTAATTGGTTACAAACTCCACCGCGGTCGGCAGCGAGGGCAAACCTTGCTCGCGCAGGGACCTGGAGACAGTAAACGACGCGACAATTTCACGGCTGCAAAGGCCCTGCTTACCGTGCTGCGTGAAGAGGTCACTGTGAACTATCTCTATCAGGCAGTAGAGCTTCTGGATCGTGAGCCGGCTCACGGGAACGTTTAGGATGAATTCAGTGAAGAGTTTGCTATGTAAAAAGGGACAAGTAAATATATATATATTAATCTCTCTCCAAAATCTGTAGAAAACATCCAACGGCACAGAACAAGATAAACACTTTTGGACGAGAAAACCCATTTTTTTTTTTCTCCCGACATAAAGGCGTTAGGGAGGAATTTCAGAGAAACGCGAACTGTCTTTAATACATCCGTTTAGGTTTTTCGTGACTTTTCTTTTGCCCTCTCCCTTTTATCTCAGTTTTACACTCTCTTCCCATGTTGCATTTAAAGTTTTAGATTTCAAATTTCAGTTGTCTGTGCTATTACCTCATTACTTCAGTCATCATAGACCGTTAATGGAGTAATACATGACCATATAATCCAGAAATTAAAAAGGGATAATTCATGTTACAAGCTTTCACAAAACAAAACAAAACAAACAACAAAAAAAAAAAAAAAAAAAAAAAAAAAAAAAACAGAAACACATGCATTTTAGAATGATAAGGTACCATCAGCTGAGCTCTCACATAATACAGATTTTTAAAAGATTTTTCAATAATTTTGCGTCGCTTCCTAAAATCTTGGGTTTGTTTTTCCTAGTAAACCTTAACCTCAAAGTATTATTCAATCTCTATTTGAGTATTCTAAGTGGCAGAACAACAGTAGCGTTTGGGGTAAAACAGGCCAAATCCAAGTATTTTTCAGTTGGTGTATTTTCCCAGTCATTTTGCTACCACATACCAAAACCATGATTTAGTTCAGAAACTCTGCCAAGATGTACTCCCTATGCCCACAGGAAGCACAAATGTAAATGCAAAAAAGTTTACAGTACAACCAAGGAGAAGCTAAATTCCTGGTTCCTCAGGCCACTGCAATGTTAGACAAACATACTTATTTATTTTATTTCTCCTTTATCTTTTTCTCATTTTGACACACCAGAACATAGAAACGAAACCAGAAAACATATAAAAGGGTTTGTGCAATCCACTTAGATATAAGGTGAGGTTTTTTCCAACTTAAACACCTTGTAATAACACTGTGTAAGAGAAACATAATTTTTTCTGTTTATGTTAAAATTTTTCCTGAAATAGTAGTTTTGATTTGCTTTCTCTATGGTGTTTTTGTTCTAAACTATCTTCCTATTACCCCTTCTATTTACTAATCACGTTTCTGTGTTTAGGAGCTACTGAAAATGTCAATTCAGTAATAGGGTTCATTGAACAACACCAGTTATTATTTACATTACATTTATACCTGAAAGAGTGAAGCACCAAGTATACAGCTTAAAATTTTTGATGCCAGTCGCCTGATTGATACTTCCTGCTATCTCATTACATGATTGTACCCAACAAGGCTGCAAAGTTTGTCAAGACATTTGTCAAACCTTGATGTTACTTTAAAAACAGGCTATATGTGTAGCCCTAAAAATATTTGCAAAAAAAAAAAAGTAATAAAACCAAAGTGATAAAACATCTCAGGTGATCATATTTCGTGGCCTTTGTACATGTTTTTTATATGTGTGTGTGCATATATATACGTAAAATAAAGCTCTAGATAAAGTTCACACTACACATTTCATTAACTCTACTCACCTAAGTTCTTTCGGATCGAATACTAATTTCACGTCGTTGACAATAGCTGGCAAGTATTTAAGTGCTGCCCCCTAAAAAAATAAAAACAAGCAAACAAGCCTGAAATTCGTATGTCTTTAAAGACGATGCAAAGACCGCAAGAAGAGATTCACCCAAGATTAGGTGGCTTTGGCTTAACCATCCTCCGTGGCTTGAGCTGAACATATGAATTTTAGCATATTCTTTTGGGGGAAAATTACCCAAACTGAAACTCAATGAAAATGAAACTTTTAGATCTAACAGATTTAAAAGATGGAAGAGGAATGAAAGATTAGTAAGCTGGGAAAACTGACAGTTTACACCAAAACTAGAGACTTATAACGCTCCTTCCAGCATGTTATAGAAACCTTTTCATGTATCGGTACGCAACACGTAACTCCATTATGTTCCTCTCATTGCTTTTGCCCCATCTTCTGTAGAGCTGGAGAAGCACCTTCTCCTCATCCTCCCCATCAGCCACGCTGTAGTAGTTTGGGTGTAACTTTCCCTCCACTACTTCAGAATGAAACAAAAAAGCACAACTGTCGTTTTTCCCTGAAGTAAATTCTTGGTAACCACTAATGAAACTGCAGTTTTAATCCCCCTTTAAATTTGCAGTTGTCACTCCATTTCACAGAACATGATGAAAGGAGTCAGAAACACAAACAGATGTTAAATATTTCAACTATTCCTAGTAATTTCAACTAATTTGGTCTTTTAATTTCTTAGTAAAAATTAGTAGCTGGTTTACTTCTTTCTAGAGCAAACATTCTCTTAGAGGCATCAAGAGCAAAAATCCAGCAATTCAAGATCACTGCCCAGCAATTTAATGCTATCATGCCAGAATACACTTTAGGTTAGACAATAGTAACCTCTAGTAACAACACAGATAAAAATCATTTACCCTACACAAATAGAAATTTCAATCAGATAAAGTCAGGTTTTTTTTTTTTCCTCATTTGCAAATAGATTTAAATGTCCTATTTCAAATCACAGATGAGGAAATGTTGTAGCTAAGAAACCCTAAGGCGAAAGTATTTGGTTTTAATCTCAACCTTATTAGCTCATATACATGCACTATTTTTACTGACGTTCTTCAAGTTCTTGCATCCATTGAGCACCAAACCAGAAAAAAAAAAAACAACACTGTAATTCAAACACAAACCAGAACCACCAGACCGATTTTGCTTACCTTTACATTTTATTGATAATATCAAACACTTTGATTACAGATGCATTTTTGCCTCAAAAGGGGTAGTGACTCATTCCCCATACAAGGCATTTCTGTTTGTGGGGTTAATGCTTCACATTTGCAGTTTCCATCAACGAATCCTTTTGAATTAGAAGGAAGACCAGCCCTTGTCCTTTTCTTTTTAATCAGTTCTGAAGTCCATGATGTCACAAGGTATTATACTACACAACTCCACGATCAGAAGTACTCAAGAGACAGAAGAATTCTCTTTAGCAGTGGCTGACAATAGGAAGAGCCACAGGGAAACAGAGGGGAGTATTGCCTCCTAGGAGCATACAAAACCACTCGTCTGTTTTCAAACAACTACACTTTTCTGCCACAACCCTAGGAATTCTAAATCAAATTCCACCATTCTTGCATGCACGAGGTCAATTGTTTGATTACAGTCACGAGGATAACTTCAAGCAGCCGGCGTTGGGAAGTTTGCCAGCGCTTGCTGACCACTTTTAAAAGAGCAAAAGCCAAACCCGTCAATAGGTTAGACGCAAATTTCAGGGTCTTCCACTTTTCATTCATAGTCCATTTAAACTGTCAAGCTTGATCATCAAACATTTCCACGTATGCTTAAAGGACTACTTACATGCTCAGAAATCAAGCTCATAACTGTAATTATGCAAATAGTCCCATTATGTACACGCTTATGTGTTTTGATGGATGAGGACTCTAATGACCAGTTATAAACCACAGCCATTGCTGTGTTTTTATTTGCTTATCATTCAAATGCATGTAGCAATAAATGTTTAGTAACACACACTAAAAAAAGAGCTTGCATTTTATATCTCGGATTAAAATCTCACACTGTGCTGGCACAATCATTAAAATTAACACTATAATAGCTTAAATGAAGTACTAGCAGGTAAAGCTATTTACAACATCGATTTAAAGCCTGTAGTTACAACAACTATTAGCAACTTAGCTTCTACTTTATGGACAAGCTAATTAAGGTTTAGTATCTTAAAATGTAAAGAAAATTGTGGAAGTATATTTCCCAATTTCCAATCTCAACTGACTCAATTATATGACAGACAAGAACGTTCTGCAGCCCCACAATTAAATCTGTATCTGTGTAACCCAAATGCCTGCTAAAAGAACATCTTGTTGATATTAACCCTTGTAAAAGAGCACATTACACTGTAGATTTTACTCTGTTAGTAACTGCAGCTGAAAGTAAATCTTTTGTTAGCCCAATTGCAATGCTAGTTATTCCCAGGATACTGGAATACATACATGAGGAAAAAGCCTGGTCTCGTTTTCTCAGAACGTCAGGGGAAAAAAAAACAAGCAAGCAATCCACTTATGGGTTTTTGTTGTTTTGTTTTTTTTTTTTTTTTAATTGAAAGAAATAAATTTCCACTCTCTGCCAGCACTGCACAAAGGTTCAAATTCCTCGTTTCTGCAAGAATTGCATGGCAAACTAAATCAAAATCTTAATTTCATAGTTACACAGTGATGTCTAAGACACTTGAAAACTCAAAACAATGTTAGAGAAAAGACAATAATCAAAAACCTTAACTCTTTGATTTTTAATCAAACAATTTTTTTTGTAACAATTGCCTTGTGATCACAGGAGGTACACATACAAAGAGGGAAGTATCAGTCTCATACTTAGTCAGTAATTATACATAGTTTCAAGCTGGGCTGGAAAAAAAATTTTGCTGCCCAAAGGGGCTTCTCACTTTGTGGAAAACAAGTGACAAATTATTACCACCCTTATCAAGTTACAAAATCATTCATTTGAAGTACTACAAAGCACGCAAATAAATCAGCAAAGGGGAAGAATAAAAAGAAGAGAAAGCAGAAACAAGACAGTGCATCGTATGAATAATGGATATATTTCTCCCCGTTACGGAGTTAAACTTCCTTGTACAGTCACTGTTATATTGACTGTCGGGGTATTATTGGAATTATTTTTTTTTCCTGGGATGTGATTCACATGTGAGTCAAGGATCAGCGTGACGTCAAGAAGTGCATGTCAGCCTGCGAGCTAACTCAAAATACCTTTCAATATTATGTCTCATCCCTTCCTCCTCCCTGTCCCCACCACACACAACCATACACACAGCCGTGCACTTAAATACGTGTTTGTTTTCCCTTTATGAGTATGATGTCCATGTATAAAAGGTGGTATACCACAGCCGAAGTACGTGCATGTGGAAAGAGCCACCAGCTGACACTTACTACACGAACCGGCTGCCAATGCAATCTACTGAACTGCTAAATCAATGAGTGTGATGCTTCAAGGATACCCTTCTAAACTACAAAAAAGGCAATTAATTATGCCAAGAAATAAAACCCACTAAGTGAAAATAGTAAGGTCCAGCAAAGTCAAAGCTTTGCCTTTAATAGAATAAAAAGAAGCAATAATTGATGGTCACAGTTCTCTGCACAGCTAATATGGAGGACGAAATTCGTTTTGTCGTTCCACAGATTAATTGCAACTTATTCTTTAAGTCATCACAACCACCTCTCTATCTAGAGAAGTCACCCTTCACAACCTTTAAGATAAATTCATTGATCTGCGTATAACGACTTGACAGCTAATAGTATTTTCCTAAACTTCAGAGCTAGCAGCTAAGTAACACGAGGGTTTTCTTCATGTTGAACAAATTCAGTGATGGCTTGTATGAAGAGATTAGTGGAGGAAAAAACCCTTCAGACACAGTAAAAAAGCCAGAATAAATAAGACCAAGTGCAGCAGCGGCGTTACTTCTGACAGCGGTCCCTCTGAGCAGCAGTGAAGGGCCCACTGCCGTGCCCACGCTGCCACGGCTCTTTTTTGCCCGATGGTTCTTTGCCAGTCAGGTTTCACATGACAGGAATGGGTAAGGAATGGGATCTACCCAGAGAAAAACTAGCACATTCCTCAGATCTAAAGGTTCAAAGAGTTTCTAAGACTAAAAATTTATCCTAAGCCAGCAATTTAGAAAACACTGTCAGCAAGACGGTCATTTTATTTTGAAAGGAACTTTTCCTGCAATTTTTTTTTTTTTTTGGGGGGGGGGGGGGGGGGGGAAACCCTCACACTCCAATAAACCTGTTAGAGCACTTCAACATTTGCATACATGAACTGTGTAAAATAAGAGTAAGCTCCATTTATTTTCTGGAACAACAAAAAGAATCCCCAAACCCCAACAGCTAAAATTACCTGAAGGTAATTTTACAGAAAATTTTACAGCTGCCTTACAGAAAAGTTCCTGAGTTTTTCATTTTTTTGTAAAGACGGGCACATATCAGCAGTCCTCCCAGAAAGATGAGAGGACAGATGCACACCTTTTCTTCACGTCATTGGGCAAATGTAAGCACCTCAGCTTTAAGTTTTGGCACTCCCACCAGGGCCCAAGCAATCTGAACCCCTCTTCACTCTTTTTTATTTTTTTTTTTTTCTTTTTAATTCACAGTTTCTTCTAGGCCACCATGTAAAGCCTGTCCTCTAACCCCAGCTCCCTTCAACCCCTCCCTCGTTTTAATTTGGGGTAAGACAGAAGACAGACTAGTACTTCTCCACGGCCTCTGCTTCTGCAAACCTCTGAGTTTGCTGGCGATGGCTTCACTCATGAAAAGCAGCGTTGCCTCAAGCAGTCATCAGTGCCCAAAGTCACTTTTGAAAAGTCACATAGATTATTGTTTCAAACACTGACAATCCAACATAACAGCGAGCCATGAAGAGCACAGCTACACAAAAGCATACACGCTCAGAAACATTTTTAAGAATCATTACAGTACGAGTACAATTAGGCCTATTTTTTACGTCATTTGGAGACTTATCTTAAATATGTTCTGTCTCAAAGCCAGCCAGCCGTG